TTTTGGTCAAAAAAAAACTTTTAAAAAACAAAAAAAAATACCAAAAAACAAAATTTTTTTAAAACCAAGATAAGTATTAGTTTTTTTTTTCCTACTATTTCCTCTTTTTTTTTTTTTTTTTTACTTTTTCTAAACAAATATTTCAACATGTGAATTTATTTTTGCTTTTAGAGAACTTTTACTGACCAGAACCAGCAAAAATTTAATCCCAGAGTTTCACAACAACATATATAAAATCCCACTCGGACCCCAAAGATGAACAAAAAGGTTTTAACTAAGCTGAACTTTTAAAATTATCATTAAAAAATTATATTATTCAAAAATAACATGTAAAAAATTATATAGAATGAGACTTCACACAACTACAAGCATACAGAGATAATAAACAGAAAAATAAGTAAAGAAAATGCATTGAGGACTTTAACTGGATGCACAACAGCAATACTATTTACAACACTTAATATTTAGTATTTAACCTAATTTAGCTTTTATCATGTGATGAGCAGTGAGTCCTTATTGATTAAACTAGTTTACATCAGAAATGCAGCAGCTAATAAAAGTGATTGTAGAGTTACAGTCTTGACTTGAAGACCAAATGAATAACATATGATCTTTAACTAGACTCCTCAGTGTGTGAATGGGCCTGGAGAGGCTAATCGGATCACGCCACAGTTCATAAAACTTCCCAGAATTCCCCTCTCTTAGGAAGTAGATGGTAAAACTAATTATGTAAGCGCTTCGCCTGGGTTCCTTCCAGCAGTGTTTACCCTAAAGAAAAGGAAATGGGAAAACCTTAATATTAAGTCAAGTAGCTAAACGTAAAACACAAAAATTAAATTAAACAAGGGTATTTTTTCACATTCTATTCCATTTTTCTTGCTTTTAAAAGGTTTAATCATGCATGAAACAATATCTGAAACTATTTTGGATTCATTGGCGAGAGGAATAAATAAAAAGGAAAAGAAATAAACCACTGAGAGACTCCTTAACACTGTTACACATCGAATTTGATCAAGTTTTGGCCCGGTTCAGTATCTAATTCACAAAGCAAATTGCTCTAATTAGCTCTGGGTGTAAACAAGTTCTAAACATTTAGCAGGAGTTGGCGCCAGGTTGCTTTGTTTTCTGTTAAATTTTCGTAAAACTACTTCCAGTTGAAACCAGATTAATGCATTTGCTGTATATGCACACATTTAATATTTTTTTCTGTGTGAAAAATGAAATCCGACTAAATTATTCCTGTTTTTGTGCGTTTAGGATTACAAAAATATGTCTCAGAAAGTGCTAATGTTTTTAAAATGTATTCAGCATCTAAATACACTAAAATTATTGAAACTTTATGCAAACATAAGCGAGTATCTTGTACTTTCCTGGAATGAAATGCCACTTAAAGAGGAAGAAGCCATTTCTCCAAAAGCAGCATACATATACTGTATAGTATGTGTTTTTATTTATTTTTTTTACTCAATACTGGCATTATGTATGCAGATAAAACAATCAAAGAGGTTAAAAATAGCACAATAAAACATGCTCTTGATTATTTATTGCTCATTTTTCTCTAAATGGAATCATGATTTCTAAATTTACATCAAGTTGAAGAAAGGAAATGGACAGATTTAGCAATAAAGTAATTTGAAAGACATGACTTTAAAAAACGTCAAGTGATAAGCGGAGTTGTTTAACAGATTTTGTCCTAAAGTTTGTTCCAGTTACTGCCAGAGGAGTCTGGAAATAATGTGGTTTTAAGTTGATTTATTCAACCTGAAAACCTGCAATGTTTTTTTCCAAAGAAGTTTTGTTACCTGATGTCACCCAGGGAAACTTGCAGCTTATTGTTTCTTCTCAAGGAACAACATAATGTGTCATTTTGTTGGTTAGGTACAGATAATTATGTTATTTCTCTGCTAAATGTAAGAGAATAAGAAAGCTTCAGCAGTCAAATCACGTCGAAAAACAAATTGTTTTTTGATGCTAATTTATTTAAACTTTAAGATTTAAGATCTTTCTCCCTGTCTAACGCCATGACACACATTCCTGTCATTTAGTCTGCAGAATACAGACCCTCGCTTGTTTCTCTATGGAAAATCAGGAACAGGAAGGAGGCTAAATAATGAAACATCTGATTGATAATTTGACCAATGTCCTAATTACAAACTTAACCTGAGCTCAGATGTATGACCTGCTTCTGTTTTCTTGTAATGTGGAAATACAAATCAACTTGGACAGAAAAGAGTAGACGACTAACTGCATACCAGCATCAACAAATACAGTTTATCTGGAAAGTATTCACATTTTCCACATTTTGGTTTGTTGCAGCTTCTTTCCAAATTGTACTCAATCAACTGCTGATGTTTGTCACACGTAGCTACAAAAATTCACCCAAATTTAAATCAGGTTTTCTGCAGTAATTAAAAGTGAAATCCTCTGAAATCCTCTGATTTCACTTTTACTGATTTCACAAGAACTAATGCATTAGTTCTCACAAGAACCGCCATCTTGGAAGGCTGCATGTAACTAGCAGATAGAAGCTACATTAGCTAAGCTAATTTAAAGGCTGTACAATATTTTAAAGCATTACAAAGTTAATGCCTTTGTTTATGTTTAACTATATTTATATTTAAACCTTGTGACTTGTTTTGGATCTGTATGTTTACCTGGATATTGCTAATCAGCTGACCTCCAGGACAATAGGCCTTTTCACAGGTTAAATCTCATCCTACTTTTATCTTATTTATTGTTTACCCTTCTTCTTTTGTTTGGTTTGTCTGGTGTTATTTTATTATTTAATGTGTCAGCCATGATATATCAAAATAGATTCCTCACATGGGTAAAATTAGATGATCCAAGGCTAAACGACGTTAAACAAGTGAATACCGGACACAGAAGTGGATAATTTGGCAAAAAATACATTTCATTTGTGACTCAAAGCCAAAAAGTAGCTGAATAAATTTGTTGTAACTTTTTATACAGGATGTATCATGTCAAATTTAGATAGATATAAATTATTTGTTTTGTCCGTGTGTGAAAACATACCTGAGCAATTTTGTCTCCTGGAAACTCTGTGACGCTACGTAATTATGTTAAACTATCACCTTTATTAGATTTGGAGTAAACGAAGCCATCTTACCACAGAGTAGCAGCTTCACAGCAGGCCAAGCAGCCAACAATCAGCCTTTTACAGCTTTTCATCGTCTTGTGATGTGAAGAAAATTTTATTCATATGAATTTGATGTGGCGCTGACAGGTTTGAGGAAAGATTCACAGCTTCCAGTCAGATGCTTACAAGTTAATTAAGCATCTGACTGGAACCTACAATGCTCTGATTTACATTGTAGGTGAGATGTTTACTTCCACTTATTGGGGCGTAATCATTTTGAGATTTTGATGTTTATCTAATTGTGTAATTTTTGTGCAACACACAACTAAAATGATGTTGAAAAACACAAATTTGATGCTCAAATTTGATGTTTTTGTGGATTTCTTTCAATCCATATTCCCTCAAATGCAACTCTCGAATATTTAATTAAATGTCTGAACAAGTTTTACTTAACTTATGTACTATTATATGTAAACAGAAGTGGAATAATTCTGGATATTTAACCCCTCATCTTGGCAGAAGTTGATTCAGTTTTGTTGGATTATTTCATCCAATCTGAAACCAGGTCTGATGTTTATTTTGAACCGTTTTCTGAACAGAACTTTTAACTGTGTCAAAGTATTAACATTACGTTGAAAAGTCCTTCCCTTTATGCAATATAACGAGTCCACTGGAAATAAAACACACCATAATGTAAAGTAAAACTACTTTCACTGTGGTCGGATGGTCACACTCATGTTTTGGTACTCACCGGTTATTATGGGATGGTTCCTGAACCTCCTAACCAATCCCCTTTCATCTTGAAATAAATACTTAGTTTATATGGTTAATCAGAACTTGGAATAGAAAAAGCAGACTAAACTTTACTGAAAATGTGATTATTGCGACTTTTAAGTCTAATTCTGCCAGGAAAATGTTCAGATAATACTTCAGATGCTCATATATGGATGTGCTATAACATTTTGAAAAATAAAAAACTGCTTTCAGGGCACCAGTGTAGTAAACAGTGTTGTGCAGAACAGGTAGTGTTAAAATTGCATCACTTTATCATCACCAAAATGTGTTTTTGTTCTTCTGTTTTGAAATTTAATCAGTTTGCTGTGATTTTTATAGCGGCTGAATGTAAACCAGCCTGCCTCCTTGGCTCAGGCCGCCCGTCTCCACCCTCCTGCCGGGTCACGGGTCTCGTTTTGGACTAATTTAATAAGAAACACCAAGTACTCCGTACAGTAGACACCTCCGGTCTCAGACGGCAACCAAGCCGGGCAGGTAAGACCTCCATGGTTTCCTCTAACTTTATTTACTCCGTGGGGAAAAGTCGTAACTTTTTCAACACTGTAGGTGTTTATTTATTGGTTTTGTTGAAGTTTGTACAACTAGCTGAGCCACAAGTTACAGGGATTTGGAAGGGATGATAATAAGGACAAGAAGAGAGGATGGAGTTCACTGCAAAATAAAGGGAGTAAATCTGGTTTACAGAAGTCTATCACTCAGTTTCTATAGAAATAGAGGTATTTAATATCGATATGGATGGTTAAACTGGTTTCAGAGAAGTAACTGGTGTCATTTAGAGTAGAAAGACTTCTTAAGGGGTTCTGCGTTTGCTTTTCTGAAACTTAGAAACTAAAGATATTTGGATTCGTTTTAGAGTTTCCAGGTTGACACAAATATACTCTGGTATTCACTGAGGCTGGAGGTAAAACCACCTGCAAATTTCTGAAATTGAATATTTTAGATGTGCTCTACGAAAAAAATCTGTGAACAGGATAATAATCTTCTAATAATTTGGCGTTAAGGTCCACTGTAAAATCAACAGCTGGTTGGTAAGAACTGATGGTTGCATTTGATCTCAAATCTGGAACATATTGAGACATCAAATGGAGTTTAAAAGGATTGCTAATTGCAAGTTAAGGAATTGTTTTATGAGTGTATCTGCGATCCTTCAACCAGGATCTCATTCAGTCTTTATTTTTAAAGAAGGTTAAAGCGTAAGGAACAGGAACTTTTGGTGCAAAATGTCGTTTACAACATAAAGGAATAAGTTTGGTAATCCTGAAGAAGTGTGATGAGGACATATGAAGGAGTTTATAAAGTTCTGGAGGGAATATTGGTGAATTTACTGTTCACTGTATAACACAACGGGTAGACTTCAGGTTGGAAATGGTGAAAAGTAAAAAATGTTAAATGGTGTTGAAACAGAGGCTCTGAAGGTGGAAACTTTACTGTTGTGTACAAACTAGACTTAAAATCATGTAATTTCCATTAATAAAGTGGAATTTACTCCAGAGTTTGTGGCATTTCTCTGCTAATTTGTTGAATGTAGTATTTAATTAAATGGTCGTCGAGGCTTAACTGCTTCGAGGACTGGGTCTAGTGCAGGTTTATGCAATTAGTTGATTTTACGACCACATGATCTTGAGGGCGTACGGTTTTCCTTTGTAAAACTACAAATCTCTAGGATTCCAGGAACTCAGTCTGATCTTTTTATTCTACGCCGTAAATTGTTCTGTGAGGTTATGTAATTACGGCCGTTGTCTTTTAAACTAATTTCATTTTATTTTGCAGAGAAGAAGACTCCGCGAGGAGATCTGAGTCAAAATGTCTGAGCGCTACGACTGCACAGAGTGCAAGGACTCTTTGTACGGACAGAAGTACATCCTGAGGGAGGAATATCCGTACTGCATCAAGTGCTATGAGGCCCTTTTCTCCAGCATGTGTGAAAAGTGCAAGAAGCTCATTAGCTGCACCAGCAAGGTGATGCATCCATGCTCCTTTCGCTTTAACTCCAATGTAGATCCAACGTTTTGTTGCTGGTCAACTTCTGTGATTTCTTTACTTGGTCTTGTTTAAGATTCAATGATAACCACAGTTAACCTTGAATTAAAATATTTCTCCATCATTTTAATTTTGTAAGATTAAATACATACATAAAGTGTGAATTTCTTCTGGGGGACAAATCAAAACAGTGGCTAATCGTTGTAATCAATAAGAACTTATTGATTACAATAATTTAAGTCCCAAAACCTTAAAATTGAGGGTTCATGGAGGTGCATGAGTCTATTTTATTCAACTCCTGTAACATCTTGCTAGCTAATAGAAGTGCAGACTTGTCTTCAGTTGTTGTTTTTCTTTCTTTCAATTTTTAGAACAGAAGATGATAAAATCCTATCATTTTTGGAGTTAATTTTAGGGCAGCTGTGCTGCAGTGCTAACAAAATCTGGTGTGTATAATAACAAGCTGAGATTCACTTTCAGCTGTTCTACTGTCTTACAATGAAAAAATACAAAAAATATAATATAATATTCCTGCTAGCACTTAATATTATTATACATTTAGAATATTATATTATTATATCATTTTTGTTTCTAGGCGTTTTTCAAATGTTCTGCAACCAGCTCTGCCGCAGTGCTAACACTAAACACGTAGTAACTTTCATTCTTTTAAAATATCTATTTAAATTTGTTGCTGATGGAATATTTATTTGATTGTTTTTTGAAGGATCTGTCCTTCAAGGACTGTCACTGGCACAGCGAATGCTTCCTCNGCNACAACTGCAGCCGCTCTCTGGTCGACAAACCGTTTGCCACCAAAAACGACCTCCTGATGTGCACCGACTGCTACTGCCTGGAGTATTCCTCCAAGTGCCATGCCTGCCTGAAGACCATCATGCCAGGTACAAGAAAAACTCCTTATGCTGTTGCTAAAATGGTTTAATGCACAGATGTCCAAAGTGCAGCCCATTTATGGCCCTCTGAAGGATTTTAGTCAGCCCCCAGACCGCAAATGTGTAATTGACAAACTCGTCTGCAAACACAGTTGGTTGAAGCGGATGGACACTTTTTTATTTTTAGGGTAATTTTTTTTATAGATAATTTTTAAAAGAAAAAAAAAAGCATTTATTTACAACGTTTTTGCATCTATCTTAATTCTGGAGCAACCAGAACCAAAATTATTGACTTAATTTTACTCAAAGCAAATCTTACAGTCCTAAGAAAACCATCATCTTGCAATCTTTCAAGGTTGTTTTAATGTATTTACAATGATTTACTGATCCATTCTCTATAACAAAAAAATGTTAACCGTTTTGTCCCTCAAGGGAAAAAGTTTGAACATCACCAGTTTAGTATGAAAGAATATTAATATAAAATCAAATAAATCTGCAATTCAGTATTCTTATTCCAGGCACCAAGAAGATGGAGCATAAGGGGAACAGTTGGCATGAGAAGTGTTTCATCTGCAAATTCTGCCAGCAGACTATTGGCACCAAGAGCTTCGTCAAGAAGGACGGGAACAACTACTGTCTGGCCTGCTATGAGAAACTGTTTGCCCTGCAGTGTGTCCACTGCATGAAGGTAAACATCCTCACAATGTCCCACTATGATTTCCGCTATTAAAACCAGTTAAAATGTTCTGCAAATGTATGGTCATGTAGGGTTTTTTTCTGTGCTTAGAGGAGCTGAAAGTTGGTGCTACAAAGACTCACATATGAGCAACAAGCAGATGGTCAGGCAGGCAGGAGTCGTGGCGCAGGCAGCAGTCGTCTGTTTGACTTGAGAAAAAGTCAGCAGCACACAGCCAAGATGGCTGCAAAGTGTGATGTCAGAGAGATGCAGAAAAACGTTTAAATCTACTAATTCAGAGGACGTTTGCTGAAAATATCTGTTTCTGTTTAAACTGGAACTCGGTAGTTATGCAACCTAATGTGTTTTAACATGAACTATAACAGATTTTAAATTATTAATATTGTTATCAGTTTGATCTCTTTCAGACTCTGTTTTTTTATTGTTTTAGCTTTAGTCTCATTTATTTGTTTATTTTTTTCAGGAAAAATTAAGGGTTAATTGTAAAAATCTAGGAGTTGCTGTATAAACAAGTCAGCTAATCGCCTTGCTAATTTCTCATTCAGTATGTTTAGTGGTTAGTTTTTTAGTGTTTAAAATTGAATTTAATTGTAAAACAAAATCCAAATGTCATGTCTCTGTTAATTTAGACTCATTAGTTTTATGATAGCTAACTGTTATTTTTAATCCCAGTTTGGCAAATAACATTTCTAATAATTAACTTTTATCTTTAATACCAAATATGCCTTATCTTTAGGATCGTTAGCCTTCAGTTAGCCTTTAGCTTTATTGACTAATAGTTTTATAACAGTTAGCTATTAGCTCTAATGTAAGTTAGATTTTGTCTTTAATACCACTTAAGGTATTTAGGTTTGTGATACTAGCTTTGAGCTTCAAACCAGACTAATTAGCTTTTTGATTGTCATTTTTAAGCTTTAAATCAAGTTTGGCTAATTAACTTCTTGAGAGTTAGCATTTACCTTTATTTTTTATTTTTTGCTTTATTTTAAAATATTATAAAATGTGACCCAAGGATTTTATGATAATGTGACTTAATGGCAACAAATCTGCAGCTCACTAATGTGTTGTCTTTTTATTTTCACTTCTGTTCCTGAATAACGTTGCCCTAGCTACAGTGTTTTTGTCATAAAATCAAAAAGTTCAATGGCCAAACTAATGTTTTTGAAAATAATTTCTCATTTGTTTATTTTGCTTTGCTTTCTTTCGATCTTTTAGCCCATTACGACTGGAGGAGTGAGCTACCATGACCAGCCGTGGCATAAGGAGTGCTTCGTTTGTGCTGGATGCAAAATGCAGCTGGCTGGGCAGAGATTCACCTCTCGAGACGACGCCACCTACTGCCTCGAGTGTTTCTGCAACCTGTTTGCAAAGAAATGCGCCCACTGCACCAACCCAATCAGTGGTAAAATGACCTCCCACAAATCTTCAGATGATAATTAGTTTGAAAAAAGTCACAGCAGAAACGAGAAGTTTTGCTTCAGAATTTTAATCATGAAATCAAGCTGGAAAGATTCACCAAACTGTAACTGATTCGATTTTAACAATGTAAGCAACACCTTCAATCTAAACTCAACATTCTCAAGATCATATGCTTAACTTGGGATCTGGTGTGTCCAATCACCATCAATTACAGAGTTATTGCGTTAAAAAAAAAAATCATGGGACTCTTCTCTGCTGTTTTTACCTCAGGTCTCGGGGGCAGCAAGTATATCTCATTTGAGGATCGGCAGTGGCACAACGACTGCTTCAACTGCAAAAAATGCAGCGCGTCGATGGTTGGTCGAGGCTTCCTGACGTTCAGAAACGACATCTTCTGTCCTGACTGTGGTAAAGACCTCTGAGGGGTCACCAGCACCAAGGAGGCGAACCAGTCTGACGGCCAATCGGGACAACTCTGCAACATATTCAAACTTTCCTGAATATTAACCAGCGTGATGTCTTTCTTTGGTTTTAACTGAGAAACTGGAACCAGTTTTAAGTAAAAGTTTGTCTTAAAGATCAAATGAAAAACTACAAAAATATCAGTTTGAAGTGGAAACCTTTACTGCTTAATTTCTTCTATGCATAACAGCATTTAAGCATTTTTATTAAATAGCAATGTCATATAGGTTTTCCTACTAATTCTTCTCTTTCTAATCATTTTTGGATGTTTCATCTGTAGGTATTCCTGGATGTCAGCAGAATTAAAAGTCTATTATTCTCAATTATTTGTCAACCAAAAGAAATTTAGTTTTTTGTTTAGGTTGGTGTAAATTCTTAATGTTATTTTTATTTTTTCAGGCACTGAATGTTTTAATCACTATGACATTTATTTTAAATGCTAACAATTTTTCCCAATATGTTTTATTTTCATTTCCTGTAGTCTTGTAATATTATCTAAATAAACTATGTAGTTTAAATTAAATAAAAAGCCTCAAATACTCCAAGTGAAATCTCATCTCAGCTATTTATTTATGTGTACATTAGAAAAGTCTGAACAACCTGATTCTGTTTCTTACTTGTTTTTTCCTAAGTGGATCTGGACTCATGATGAGCTTCTTAGGTTTAACTAAATACCAACAAAACAATATGGTTGTTGGTTATTAGTTGTGCCTTGAACAAGTTTTCTATTGTTTGTTTACATTTTTGGTCAATAAGTAGTGGGCATCCTCCCATAGTCATAGTAAAAAAGACTGCAAGACAATATGGCTGCCAAAATTCAGTGTCACAACTTCAGATTTGATGCTAAGCTAAAGGAATATTTCATTATTTTTAAGGAATATGCGCAAAAATAAATACTTAGACTGATTAATCTTAAAAATGGCATTACAATTCAAGATATGAAGACTCACATAAGTATTTAGTTTAGGATAACAGATTACTGAAATCTGAAACCATAACTAATAAATCAAATCTATACTACACTTTATCTGGAGATTGTTTTAAACACATTTGGGTGTTAGGGTTTCATTCATTCAAGAATCTCCTCTTGAAAACATTCTAGAAACGTCCCTATTGAGATCAGAAAAGTAGTTTTGAACTTTAAATTTGATATTTTTCTATGCTTTATTTGACCGCAGAACAAAGATCGTCTGTCCATGTATCCAACAGAGGTTGCGTAGCACAGAATTCTCACTCTTACCGCATTTTCATGCATCATAAACGTACAGTCCTTTCGGAAAGAAAACTCACACAGTGTAAGGCGTCGTTTTAAATACACGATCTTTGATTTGTGAACAGGAAGCGAGCAGCAGGTGCCACAGGAAGCTGTTAGCTCTGTGAGGAGGAAAGAAGAAGCTATCGGCTTTTACCTGCAGCAACCCAACTCATCAAATACAAAAAAAGCACACAGCAACATTAGAGTAAGAAATATTTATATTTTCTTATTTATTAACCATTATTAGCACTTTATTAAAAAGGCATCACAATTTCATTGTAAAAAAATGGAGATAGCGGTGGAAACTAGGCGGCTAACTCGGTTAGCAACGCTTTGTTAGCCTCTTATCTCAGTAATTTATTGCTCACATTAGCGGTGAAACCTGAGCCTAGTGATGTAAATTATGTTACGGCAAAAATAAACGTTTTAGGGTTTTAAAATCTATTTTAAGTAAAACTCTGGAAATAAAACCGACGGTAGTAAATGAGTAAGTCTTGAACGCTATTTGCTCATTTACATTTACTCACCATGTCCAGATTTTACATTTTATCTCCATGCATCTGTTCATCCGTCCATCCATCTGCATCCATCTGTTTATCCTTTTGCATGCATGTTGTCATCCATCCATCTGCTTTAATCTCTTCATCCATTCATCCATCCATCTAATCATAATCTATTACTCATCCAACCAATCATTTGCATCATTTTGTTCATCCTCTCATCCATGCAACTATTGCACATATTTATCTGCATGAATCTGGTCCATTTATTTATCCATCCATCGATTTGTCTATTCGTCCATGTTTCTTTGATTTATACATCATGAATCTCTGCATTTCTATGAAAAAATAAACTAATAACTCAGATCTCAGCTTTCGTCTAATACCTCTGACCTTTTTAGAGCCGTGCATCATAACTGTTTCTGTTTAAAGTTGAATCCAAGTGAAAGCATCTTCTGTTTCTCAATTGTAACTGACAGCTTAATTTATACTGCCCCCATGTGGGGACAGTAGGAAGCTGAAGTGATAAAATATAATAATAATTCTGTTTTAATCATTTTCTTATTGATTTATTTAAACTCTAATGTCGCTCATTCATTTAATTAAAAAGTGTTTTATAGTTTGTTTCTTTTTTTTGTTGTTGCTTTTTTTCTTCCTTGACTTGTGGCAGTTGTGAATTTAAAATGTCTGTATTTAGTTTGCAGATTTTCTTTCGTCGTCAGCTAAAATGAGCGCTGCCGTTCCCAACCATCGAAGGACCAAACCCGGAGGTGAGACTGGCTAAAGTTTGCAAACTGTTTCCTCTTCATATTTGTGGCATTAAAACCAGTAGAAAAACGAAACTATTTTCATCTGAGAGCCACTATTATTCAGCTTAATGAAGGCCATGCTTGTGTTTTTCTGCAGGCATAAAGCCTGGAGCTGCAAACAGCGGCGTGACCGGACCCACCTCCCAGATTCCCGGCCTCTGCCAGACCGCCACCGATAGCGCGGAGGTGGAGAGGATCAGCGGGCGGCGAGTGGGGATATTTGAGACCGACTCGGACTACGTCAAGCTGGCGAAGCAGGGAGGACACAAAGGTGAGCCGATAAACCACAGATTTAAAATTGCTGATCAATTCAAGAGTTAATCCAAGTTGATCATAAAGATCATCTTTCACTGTTTGGTTTAGTAGCTGTTTGTTTGCCTTCCTGTTCATGTTTAGGAAGCATTTTAACTTCATGACTAAGCCTATCGCAGTAAGCAATTAATTGATTAATCGCATAAAAAAATGAAAAAGAGCTCAATAATTTCTAATATTTTTTGAAGTTAAATTTTGCTTACAGAGACATAATCAATTTTATTTATAGTTTTGGTTGAGTGTCAATTTTATTTTTGTTTTGTTTCTGGTATTTAAATTGTCTTAAGAAACTACAAAATAAATACAGAATATGAAAAATACATTACAAAAAAAAGATGGTAAATAAATTAAATTACTACAACTAATAAAAACAAATGATTGGAAATGAAATAGTAGTGATAATATTAAGATTTCCTTACAAAATTAAAGTTTATTGGTCTTTGTGAACTTGTGTTATTATCGATATATTATGAAACTACAATATTATGATTTATTACAATAATTTCTTATTGCAGAAAATGGGAAATAAATGCAAATAAAACATTGTGAATTCTCAATTTGGCTCATCGTTTTGAAACGGCTCCCGACTCTGAGAGGTTGCAGTAATTATTTGGTCACTGACCTGCTTTAGGTGTGACTTAAACCCCTCCTGGTGTTTTCAGAGCGGAGATGAGAGTCATTACTGCCTGCAGAGTTTTAGCTTCAACAGGAATGTTTCCCTTCCTGCTGCAGGCCTATTGAGTCACGACGTTGATGACGATGACGCGCCGAAGAAAGCCTACAACCCGCCCAACTGGTTCGGAGGGGATGAGTCAAAGAGGTAAGACGGGCCAGATGCTGATTTAGAGGAAAACGTTTTCGTAGGAAGAGTCCAGAGCTGAGGAAGACGAAATGTTCCTGTCTGTCACCCAAGTGTTGCGGCTGCAGGCGAAATGTTCCCAGAACTTTCACATGGAATGTCATCGTGGTTTTGTGCTTTCAGCGGGAGCGAAGCCTCGTCTCCTGACAGCCAGATGAAGGCGGGCAGGCGGCTTCTGGCTGCTCCCTTTGGCACTGATAACAATTCCTCCTGGGAAAGAGAGACTGATAGTTTTTCCCATGGTAAAGAGAAGGTGAATGGACCGAACTAGTCACTCCCCAGCATTCATGCCACGCAGACGCCACTCCATCTTTTGTTATTGCCATTATTTTAGTTTTTATCACAACTTTCCTTCATTTTACACCTTCGTTTTTCATCCCTGCGTTTGGAAATTGCTTCAAGATTTAATTCTCCGGAGGGACTTTGTTGTTTCCTGGGAATTTGGAGGGGGAAACGTTGGCTCCGTGATTGCAGTTCTCTCCAATATTCCAGCTGGTTCTAATCTGGGAAACCTGGATTACAGCGATGTGCAAAAGTATTCACACACACTTGACGTTTTTCACACTGCAACCACAGGTTTTGCTGTATTTATTGGGACTTTATGTGGAAGAAACGTGACGTATGGTTTAGTTACAAAGAAAAAACTGAATAGTGTGGTGCATTCAGAGGTCACTTTAATAGGAAGTTACTGCTCTGCTGCATAAAATCCCAGTAAAATACATTCAGGCTGCAGTTTGGAAAAATGTGAAACGGTTCAGGGAGTGTGAATACTTTTGCAGGTTGCTGAGTTTCTGGGTTAAAACTAACAGATAAATCATCATTTGAAAATGTTCTGGTTGGTTTAATTTTTAACAGCATGGCAGTTTTTTTTTTTTTCCTTAAGTTTTCCTCTTTATTTCATTCTCTGCTCTGCTTCCCTGATATTTTCCCCAGCCGCTCATTTCTCCATGTTTGGTAACTTGGTGAGTCCCTGTAGTTCTGCAGCCATCAGTCAGGCTGTTGCTGCTTATATAACTGTGACTCTGGATGATGTTTCAATCTGCAGATGTCTCCAGATGATGCAGCTGTGCCTATGGAGGGTCTGTCCATGACCAACAAGTATAAGAGAATGTAAGAACTTATTCCTCTCTCGCATTTACTGATATAAACTTGATTTATTTGGAAGGTTTTAGAGGTTCGATAACGTGACGCTCTCCTCCTCAGATCCTACGATAAGAAAGCTCCTCCGGTCAGCATGTCCAAGCTGCTCAGTCACGGCTACATGGAGGAGAAGAAGAAGTCTGGAAACGACGACGATACTTCAAGTACAAACATTTTTATAGTTTAGCAAGAAATAAAATCTGAAGTGGGGTAGAAGGAATCCCTAAAAACTGAATTGTCCACTAAAAGTTGTTGGAGTCAAACAAATCAAGCTCAGTCTTATATTTGTAAAGGAAGATAATGGAATAGTTTTGACAAAACAAGCTCAGGGTCTCTTTATCTCGTCACAAGATAAGATATTTGTCTTTGTGACAAAAAGATGGAAATCTTGCAGCTTAGTGAGAGATAATGAAACATGACAGAGAAAAGTTCAGTGATGAATTAACTAAAGTGAAAAAGAAATTCCTTCCAAATGTGATAAAAAAAAGTTTATTATTATAAAATGAACTCAAGATATTTATCTCAATATGAGGAGATAATAAAAATCCTGATGCAAAGCAAACCTGAGCTCTCGTTGAAATAGCGAATGTAATGATGACAAAATGCTTCATTAACATTTATCCTGAAGTTTTGTGATTATAAAAAAAACTAAAAAATCCAAAGTCTTGTTATCACGACAAAACATTAAGGGTCTCTACTTCAAAATAAGAAAAAAATAACAATAAACAAGCTCAAAGTCTTTATCTTAAAATAAGACAAACTTATTAGCTAGTGAGTTTTTGACGTACAAACACAATCGTGGTTTTATCTCATTGTGATAAAATGAGTTTGTTCATATTTCTGTAGCTTTTAATGCTAAAAGCATCAACAAGAATGGAATTACAGCCTGAAAAAAGTCAGTAATTTCCTGATCTATCATGAAGAGACCCGCAATAGACAAACACTAAATATTAGACCATAAATCGTTCAATTAATGTTACTAAACATGTGTGAAAACACCTGAATAAATGACTAACGTGTTGCTGAAGCTGCTGCTGTTGCTTCCACGGTTTAGATTTGTTGTTTTCTGTGTTTGACCTGCAGGCGTGACGTCAGAACAGACCAGCACCGTCATGACGGAGGATGTGGACGACCTGGATTAGTTTGCTCAGGTTCTGCTTAGCAGGAACAATGGGGCTGTTCTTTAAGGTTCTTTTCCCCCCGATACGGTGCAAACACACCTCTGCACCCTCTTACGTTTTAGTCATGTTTATTGTAAATCCACTGACTGTTAGGTTTTGTACTCATGTTTATGCAAAGGTACTGTCTTTATTATTTATTGTTTTAATTTGTATAGAAAGAAGGAGAAGAAGAAGAAAGGTGCGTTTCTGAGTAGCGTAGTCGGTGTTGGTGACTTTTTGAGTTTTGTTTCTGTGCTCGATTTGAAAGCAGGGCTGGAATCCAACAGCTGCCGGTTTTTACCTCTGAGCCTCGTTGCTGTTCGCTTCCCGCCCTGGACGTATGAAGATCGACTTGGTGACGTTTAAATGTTTGTGCTGATGATTCGTGGTTCCAGTGACGTGAAGTATTATTTGCTCGGCTTGGCGTGTTTTTTTTTTTTCGGCCGAGGCGACGCGTACGATCATCTGTCGAGACGGCAACCCCGCAGCTGCGATCACATGACGAAGTGAAAACTGACGGCCAGAGTCGCTGAGGTTTGTTTGGGTAAAAAGGAGCCAGATGCTTTTATTTCTTTCTTTCCTTTGATCGTACTAATTATTCGGTTTTTAAGCTTCCTAAATTAATAATTGTATGGCCTCACTGCTGTGTTTACCTGCCAGAATAGTAGGAATAAATCAGACGAAGCTGAAGCAACAGGCTTTAGCTGCTTTAGTGCAAAAGTGCCAAGCTTGTTTCGCTGTGAAATCACAACATTCCCCTTTAGCCACGACTAAACGTAGATGTGCTGTAGGATTTTAACTAAAGACACTTGAATT